CCCCAAAACCCCAAAACCCCAAAACCCCAAAACCCCAAAACCCCAAAACCCCAAAACCCCTGCATTATAGTGAGATTGATAGAATTGGAAAAATTATAAGTCTAATCAAGTGTTCTCTGGATCTTCATAGTCGACAACACTCTCTACAGGAGGATTCTCATAGTCCTCCACGAGGGTATTCATGATCCTGAGATTATCATCATCAACTTTTCCACACAGAAGAAGCTTCTTAAGTCAGACCAAAGTTTGTTCTTTAAGCAAGGATTCTTTAATAATTCTTAATAGAAGAGCTCTCACTTGTAGAAGGTATTTTATCTTTAAGATCAGGTGCACAGTATTGTCAACAGTGCAATCTGAGTGGGTCTCTTTCAAGTCCTTGTACAAATGAGGCATCTGAGTGTCAAATAGCAACTTTTTGAGAGACAATAATCACCTCTCATGAATTGGGGCTACAATTTCTCACTTGGACATTAAGAATTCTCTATACTGGAACAAAGTGTTAACAATGTAGCAGATGTCGTCATGGTTTCAGTAGTATTTTGATCGATCTAGCAAATGGGATTTTGAAGGGTCTAAAATTAGACATGAATCATACCTGAATAAAGCACTGCTAGATTACAAGTTTTTATATTTAGAGGTGCTGGATGTGCCTTTAAGTAAGCCAAGGACCTCGTCAAAGAATCCAAATGCTCTTTGTATGTCTTAATATCACAGTCTTTGTGCTTAAGATGTAGATTAAATTCATACTGAATGTTAACATCAACCAATTTTTCATGCATTTTCTTTAAATATGTAGTCAATCTTGTTCCTTCAGAGTAAAGTGTAGGTTTGGGAGCATGATCCAGAATTTTTAACTGCTCCAGTCTCTTCCCATCCTCGGGGAATGGCTCGGGCTTTAAAGTCTTATGATTAATCTGGTAATTAAAATAGTGATAGGCGCTCTTGTTCATTTCCATATTTTTAATGGCCCAATGTGATGTATCCCTCAGATGATCAAATTCTAAAAGTTACAGAAATCAGATACTTTTTAGATTAATCCTTGCTGCCTTCTTTAGTCTCTCAAGTTCAGGGAAAAACTTTGTATGGAGCTTGGGGTTCTTCTCCCGATCAATCTTGAACCGGATGTTTGAAAACCCCTTGCTCGCCTTTAGATTCAGGTATTTATTCTTGCTTGTGAAATCCTTTGTATTGATACCATTCTTCCGCTTTTGTCTGAGTTTCTTCCTAATTTTCTTCCTCTGAAGGATGGATCTTACTCGTGAAAATTGGTCTTTCTTCAGAAACCCAGGAGTTTTCTTGCTTTCTTCTAATGAATTAAGTCGACTACTATACCTGATCTGAACCTCATGCGGCTACGGTTTCCTCTCTCACATGTGCTGGAGTACTCATCATGCCCCTTGGATTTCTTACAAGATGGGGAGCTCTTTCTGGTGATAATTGATGACAACAAAGAAGTTGGTTCATTCAATACTGTGTAACGTGTCGAGGTATCAAAAATGTCAGCTGCCTTGATCGAGCTGATCTGAGACTGTAGCTTCTTCTTGTAATCTATCAAACTAGCATTTGATATCTGAGAATACACACTATCTTTTAGTGAGTAGAATTTGTTATTTAGTTGATTTTATAGAGTTTGAAATAGTCTTTAACTTCGAAGCTCGGCGATACATCACGCTTTTATGAGTCACCTGGTGGGGATTAATAGTGTGCTTGTTATTAGTAGGGGGTTGAGAGAGTGTCATATCGTTATTTATACTGAGTCTTTGGTCCCGGATGTCTCTTGAATCATCCAAATCAATGTTTACAGTTTGGTTATCGAAATATTTAATAAGAGCACCTATAAATAAAAAATTAAATTCTTACTTTTCTTTGCAATGGTGACTGACTCCGGCGAATAGTTTATCCTTTTTCTCTTTCTATAAACCCATCAAAACATGACAAATATCGATCCAAAAAATGCTCTTCCTCAGCTCCACTTGGATGCCCAAAATTTTCTCAAACCCCTTCCAAAAATTCCCCATCTCAAAACCACCCATAACTGTAATTCATAGTTCTAAACCCTCAAAACCCCTCCAATTCACAGTCAGATACCTCTAAACTCCAATATCCCCCTCTGAAACCCCCTCAGCCCCTTCAAAATCCCTTCCAAGACCTTACTCAATATAATCTCTATTCTCTGGCCCGCTTGGGCTTTCAAATTCGCAGCTACTATCCATTCTTCTTAATTAATCTATATAAAATTAAATTAGGGGTTTTGGGGTTTTGGGGTTTTGGGGTTTTGGGG